CTTTTATTTAGCCATTCTGTAGTAAATAGACTATGAATTTCACTCTAGTATCTTTGGCAGAAGTAATGAAGTCTTGGCAATATGAGATTTTATGACAGTTCCCTATTAATAAGTTTTACTGAGAATGAGAAAAGACTGCCGATGTTAGCTTGAAAATTATTGGATCTGCAGATTTGTGAGATGAATAAGTAGAGTTCTACTATATCAAAAATATTTCCCATAATAATTTGTATGCTAAGTAGTTTATAATGACTTGGCCAGGAGCACAAGAAGCCACCATCAATTCATACTGATAACCCAGAGCTGGTGGGTTCCTTTACCAAGCAACTTATGAAAACAGGCCTAAATTACTGTCAGTGTTTAATACTAATTAGGTCCTCTTCCTTGCCCTGTGGCTTCCTCATGTAACTCTCTGATGTTAAATCAGCCATTAAATGACTAAGTATGGCCTGAAAGGCTAAGTGCACCACCACCAAGTGATACAAAAGGAGCCGGATTAACTGAATTCCATCAGTGTCTGGTTTTGCTTGCTGCTTACTTTCTGAGATCTTTCATCCTCAATTCTAACATCCATCATTCAATGAAGCATTTTAAAATAAGCACCTCCTAAATTGTTATTGATTGTAGATTATCAAGTGAATAATACCCTTCTTATTCCTTCACAGAAATACAAAACTATATAATTCACTGACAAAATAATATTATATTGCTATCCAAATAGTTCCTGTATAAGTCCTCCAGACATGTAGAGACTCAGATCCCACACTCTAATCCATGGTGTCCACTTGATGCTGTAGACATTTGTCCACTAATGGATACTTCTGTATGTAGCATTCCTCTCTTACGTAGAGCTCCTCCTCAGTGGCAATGCAGGTTTGCAGACTCTCCTACTTCCTACGATATTTCCCTGCAATCCTGTTCCTTCTCACCAGTGCTTCAACTCCTGTACTTCCTGTACTTCCTTCCTCTAACTCAGCTCTTTAAAAGTTCTAGTAGTCTCTCTCCCCCTCCCCCACAACTCTCTGTGTGTGTCTGTGTGTGTGTCTGTGTGTGTGTGTACACGTGTCTCTGTTTCTGTAGTGTTTTCTTCCTGAGAAGATAGTAGAAAGTTGCTTGCAATGTTCATCACTTGGAGTCAAAGAATGCAACAATGAGAATTTAAACCCAAGAGGCATTCTGTGAGCTGTGATAAAGACTCTGTTTTTTCCTTCCTTTTATGCTGCATTATCCATGGCCTCCAACTGTTCTCGTACTTCAATCTGAAGCTGGGTCATATATACGCAATGATTCAACCAGGAGACAGGACTCAAGAGGAACTACACACTGATACATATTGGTTAAGGAACATTTAATACCTGGCCTCAAAAAAAAATTTGAAGACTACCTTTATTAATCAGATAATTCAAAAGGAAGATAAATTGTATCCAAATAATCTTAGAATCTTTATGGCTAAATAGGCTCCATCAGTCAATCAACCTACATTGGCCAATGCAAATACTCTGGGTGTAGGAGACACTTGAGTGATCCTCACCAGAGTGCAACTCACTGTGCACAGCATGGAAAGCAGAGATGGAATAGCTCTAGAATCCGAAATATTACCAAAGGGTTAAGCATGTAGCTGACTGAACAGAAAGTTAAGGGACCTTCTGAGATCTAGACAGTTAAATGAAGAAATTAATACCAATAATAAAAACTGACCCAATGCAAACTTCAAATTCCATCTCTAAGCCAGTAAAACCTACAGAAAATCTTGACTGTAATGTGATGGGTTAATAATCTACACTTTCAGGGATGAAAAAAAAGCAAGAGGCCAAAATAACAGTGATTTGAGTAGGGCATGAATATTCAATTCTGCCTGTGATGAGAAGTTACATTAATGATGTGAAGATTTAACTGACAAGTAAATGCTGAAATGAAATCTTTAATGGAAAGAGAAATATTTTTCAGAAACCCATTGCAGATAATAAGTAAATTATTACCAACTTCAATAAAATATGATGATGAACACGCAAACCTTTAATGTCTGACACTAGGCGTTTGGTGAACAATGGTGGTTTTAAGATGAGCACCTTTGCACTACTCCTTTTATTTTGAAAGTTCCCACCTCTTTCTTCAGATTTCTTTCAACTACTAATAAAAGAAAAGCTGTTAGAAGGTTTTTAAGATATTCTTTATTTTTAAAAGATTGAGGAAAAGTCAAGACATCCTTTTATTACCTACTTACAAGCAGTTTTTTGTTTGTTTTCTAAGTCCTGAGAATAAGCACATTTATAACTAGAGAACAATACTTATAAACAGTATTTAGACTTTCATCACAGTAAGCATAAAGTAGCATTTATGTTATCTTATTTTAAATACTGAAGTGTCTAGTCGTTACATTTGACCAAGGTTGGGCTGTTTTGTTCTCTCTGGGATAAAAGCTAAAGAGAAATAAGCTTTCTAAGGGCGACTTGTCTGCGGTGCTGCGCCATGATGCAAGTGTAGTGTGCTTGGGATCCACAGTGAGCTGTTCTCCTGCAAGAGCAAGCAGTCCAGTGGATGATGATTGGTTGGTCAGCAACCTTGTGGTGTGAGTTTGAAAGAAAAGCAATGCCTTTGTCTTTATTCAGGGTGCTGCATTGGTTTCTAGGGAGAGTGGGAAGTCATTTTCAGAATGAAGCCAAAACACACACACACACACACACACACACAAAAAAAACCTTGATAAAACAGATTGGGCAGGAATGTGCAACTGAATAAGAACCTAATTTCCAATGTGTCCAACTACTGAAATAAATGGAAATAAAATACAGTTCTAAAGACATGGATCCTTAAACCTTAGGTGACAATTATGAAGTGTTTCTGGCCCCATAGTGCTTGAGCACACGACCAGAATGGGTTATTCCCTTCAAATAGAGATCTGTCAGCTCAGTAGAAGCCAAGGTCCTTCACCTTTGAAACTTTGTACCCAGTGTTCTGACACCTCCATCTGAAAATAATGATCTGGAAGGGGTGGAAAAGATAATTAGGAAAGTAGGATCTCACTGGTTCCTCCAATGAGCTAGCAAGATTCTAGTAACCCCCTTTAAATTTCACTATAAGAGTAAGATCCAACAATAGAGTGTTGCAGCATGGAACTTCACAGCATTACAGTTTCATACTAATGGGTTTTAAAAGTCAATGAAAAAAACTGTCGACATGTCTGCATGTGCTTTTTTAATGAGTAATTTTAAAATACCCAAATATTGTGCAACCTGCTCTACATTTCGTGATTCTCCTCTACCAGCTTCCTGGGTGTTTGCAATCAAACTGTGAGCAGTAAGTCCATCTGAATGGATTTATAAATGGAATTATAAAACAGATTAATAGTCTTGTTTTGAAAGACGTAGGAGCTGAACTGAAATGATAAGTGATCGTGACAGTAGGAATGTGTTTGGCATCCAACACGATATGATGAGAATGGGCTCTTCACACTGCTCACCAGGTACTGGACTAACTGGCAACTATATAAGTCAAAGCTCAGTTGATCTCTACGTCATTTCACAAGCAAGTCTCCTGCTCCGCTATTAACTGTCTCTGTGCTCCAACTTCTCGGTCAACTCCTCCTGCCCCGCACTCTCTTTGACTCTTGCCTTTCTAAATAGATACCCTGGTGTTGATTCATCCCTGAACTACAACTACCTGAAACAGCAGCACCATCATACCACTCATGAAGACAGTGTTTCTTCATTTGTATCCACATCTCAATTACCTGGATAAATCAAAATGAATCAAACAGTACCCAGGCAGATCTCTAGGTGACTAATTCACACATTCATTCTTTGCATTAGATTCACTGTGGACTCACTCTCTTCAATAAGCAGCCTTATAATTTTATAAAGAAGCACTTTATAACTAGAACTCAGTGGTAAACGTGTGTGTCCTCATTCAGAAAGCCCTGGAGTCAGTCCCCAACACCAGTAAAACAATAAAACTAACAAAAGCAGATGGCATAATCCCCTGAAGGCACAGGAGAAGAGGAACTTAATATAGCAAAATAATTTATTTCCTGTATTGAATCTCCAAGTAGCCTGACATAGCACTAATTTTAAAATAATGAACTATTTGTCATCTGTCAATCACCTTCATATCATAACTCAAACTCTTACATTGACCAGGTTGATCTCCTACAGTTTTCCAGCACAAATAAGTCATAAGCATTCTTGCACAAGAGAAGATAGAGTTAGAGTTTTGCATATTAAGAATTAAATGATGGGGAAAGTCATATATATTAGAAACTGAAGGAATATGAACTCAAACAGCCTTAATATCAAGAAAAAATGTCATTTTCAAGCAATAGCTGTTTGCTCTACTTAATGTAAACTGATACAAAAATATTCAAAGATTTGAAACTACAAATTAAATGATTAAAAAGAACACATCCTTAAATTGTTTGGCTTGTAATAGCATATGAATCGAGCTAAGTTATTGTATTTATCTTCTCATATTACATCCTATAGGGAATTAGACAAATGGATATCACAGACTTTCAAGTTAAAGATGTTTATACTGTGGGAACTAGAATGGTGACTAAGTCATTAAGAGCACTAACTGCTCTTCCACAGAACCTAGATTCAATTCCTAGCACCCATTTGGAGGCTCACCATCACCTATAACTCCAGTTCTAAGGGATCTGGTACCTTCTCCTGGCATCTGCAAAAACTGCATGCACATGATAAACAGATATAAATGCAAGCAAAACTCTCATTCACATAAAATGAAGGTAAGAAAGATGTTTGTGCTTTATAAGTAAATACTATATTATGGAGAAGAGGACATATTCTTATTATAGTTTTTAATATACTTATGGATCGAGGAAATAAACACATAGACTTTTCCTGGTAAAAAGTGTAGACTTCCTTTATATAGTACTGGAAAAAGAAGCAATGTATTTCAGAGCCATTACTAGAGGAGAGTTTCTCCTTCATTCCAGTAAACGAGTCCTGTGCCTTTTCTTGTGATGGCTGCAGGGGTGTAAGGCAGAGGAACCAGACTAGATGGAGCAAGCCACATTGGACCAGAGATGAGACATTGCAGAAATCCAAAGCAATGAAGAGTCTGAGGTTGGTAATCAGCAGTGTTTCCAAGGCCCAAGAAGCACAAATGCTTAGACACAGGCAAATTTCTTCAATGTTTGTTCACAGAACAAATATCATTTTTAAATTTTGCCTGAACTGTTGAAGTATTATAGGGTCAGTGGAATAGTCGAGAATTAACATTTGCTCTTTTAATAAAAGCAATATGATATAAAGCACAAGCAGGGCTATCGTGGCAATTTCTCATATTGTACCATAGTTTTATTGTTTATTTTTATAACAACCTTTGTCACTTTTTTTATAAATTTGAAGGCTTGGCTAGTGTGCCCGACCCCTCCCCATGACCTTGTGCTGGTGACTTTCACACAAGCTGGAGTGACCGGAGAAAAGGAAGACTCAGTTAAGAAAATGCGGCCATCAGATAGGTCTGTGGGTCACTTTCTTGATTCAGGATTGGTGTGGGAATGCGCAGCCCTTTGTAACAGTGCCACCCTTGCGTAGTGTCAGAAACTGGGCTGAGCAAACCATAGAAAACAAGTCAGTAAGCAATGTTTCTCCATGGTCTCTGTTTCAGTTCCCGCCCCTGGGTTCCTACCTTGACTTTCTGTTCTGGCATCCCTTCATGATGGACTATAGACTGTTAAGGTAAAATAAATCCTTTCCTCCACAAGTTGATTTGGGTCATGGTATTAACACAGTTGGCAATAGAGAGCCAACTAGAATACTCTTGTCAGCTCAAATCCACCCTGCATTCCCTCTGCAAAAGCAGCTCTGTGTCGAAGTTCTATCTCAAGAGCCAAGATTTGGGGTAGCATGAACTTTTTATTTTAATTTTCCTTTCATGACTTTTTATGTATATGATGCTTCCTGCCAAATAGCTGGATCATTAAAACTATAGACCTAGCCTGAAACACTGTAGGCTGCCCTTTAGTTGACCGTCTGCACCAGTGAATGGCACTGTTGTCAAGATATGCCCCCTTGCCCTGAGTTACCATTTCATGCCAGAGGACTTCCAAGGGTGAGGCTATTATATTGTTACAGCTACTGTATTCATGCGTTTGAGTCATATTTTGGCTGAAAGCCTAACAGAAGACACAGCAAATACTGAATTCAGAAAAATTTATTCTTCAATATTTATAAAAGATACTTTTATAACAAGGATCTAGATGCAATAAGCATCAGTGTAATTGGTTATAATATCAAATACAATAACACATGGCATTACAAGAAACTCTATGTAAAATCCGCCTCTTTTAACTCACCATTGATTTTATTCCAAATTCATATATATTTTCTGCTGGCAAAAATTTGGCCTCTGTACATAGTAGTATCTATAATTAGGAATGTGGTAACTCACATAAAAATAAAATATTTAAAAGAAATAAAATAATTTTTTGATGAAACTTAACAAAGCTTTCAAAACTATAATAATGCAAGAAGCAAAAACATTTTAAAGTAAAACTTAACTATTAGCTGTGATAGTCAAGTGCAATCAGCTGTGCTGACCTCTTTGTTCCTAGTCTCATTCCTTCCACTCTTCAACTGGATTTTGGGAGAGGTCAAGACCATGATGGGGACACCCACTGAAACAGTTTACCTGAGCTAATGTGAGCTCACCAACTTCAGCCAGACCAGGAAGAAACAAGCATAGGACCAAACTAGTTCCTCTGAATGTGGGTGACAGTTGCATGGCTGGGGCAGACTGAGGGACACCAGGATTTATCCCTACTGCTTGTACTGGCTTTTTAGAACCTATTCACTTTGGATGGATACCTTACTCAGCCTAGATATAACAGGGAGGGCCTTGAACCTTCCACAAAGCAATGTGCCTTACCCTCTCTGAGAATTGGATGGGGGTCGGGTGGGAGGGCGTGTGGAGGGAATAGGAGGTGGGGAAGGAGTGGGAACTTTGATTGGTATTTTTTAAGAATCCAATAAAAAAATCACTAAGAAAAGAGATCATCTGTGCTGTGTGCCTCACATCTCAGCATTCCCATAGAAAAGAGAAGCTGCAACCCTGAGTATTCCCCAGACCAGAGTGAGCGCTGCTAACTTCAAGCAGACTTAAGATTTTATATATACTTTAAACACAAATTTAAGAAATTGGTCTCTAAGCATTTGCTTTTCACAGACTTTCCGCTAGCAACTGTTAACTTGCTGTGTTACCTTGGAATTCACTTCATATTTCTGATCTGTTTTCTCATTTATTTAATTGTTATCACTTAAGGTTCTTTAGAAATGATTCAGAGAAAGCAAGAAATAAGTCCAATTCTGCTTCATTGTATATTCGGGTCTCACCGTGGATCACCGTGGAAGGATGGACTGGAGAAGCTTTGTAGCTTCCAAACATCGTGAATGGACACAGAGCTACTACAGAAACGGCGTGTGCCCTGCACAAATGCATGCAAAACTAAAGTCCTTTCTTCACAGTGACCTCCCAGACACATCATCTCAGCCTGAAATTCCCACAGGATCAACCTGTCATTTTCTCTTTTGAAGTTTCCTGTTCGCTTGTGCTCAGATGATAACAATGATGATGATGATTCTAAATGGCTCGTGTACTCAACTGTGCGGGGATTTTATGTTTACCAGTTACAAGTCAAACCCACAGTCATCTTTTTCATTGGAAACACAAGTAGTCTCTTTAATATGCCCAGGTTTATTCACCTCAACCAGGAACTCTGTAGTCCTTCAGTGACACACACTGGTGTGGCCTTTGTGGCTCTGTCTTCTTCCGGTGTCACTTCTGTCTCACTCTATGGAAAAGTCGGTGCCCTTATGTCCTTTCTCGTGGCTTCATAATTAAAGGAAGGTTCACAAATGTGGTTTGGATATGTCATTCTCTTTCTGTCTCCTTCTCCTCTGTCTTCCTATGTCTGCCTGCAGGGCTGCTCTGGAAATTCTCCATCTTTCTTCCTCTATTAGGAAGAACAATCAATTTTAATGTAAAACACTGGCAAAAGCTATTACTCATATCTTGATAGTAGGAAGCTCGCTCTCTCATCTACAGATTGTCTGTGTGTGATTTCCAACAGCTACAGGAAACACAATTCTAAAATCTCCCAGCAATTTTGATTACCTACCCAACATTTATTCCATCCATCTCTCACGTAATCATGCTGCTTAGAATTTGATAAGCCTTCTTATTCAAGTGTGGTTCATAGGAACTCACTAAAAAAGAGAAAAAAAAGAGGACAGAAAACAATCCAGGGCCTGTTCCAGCTGAGGCAGAGCCACAGGTAACCCATGTCTCTTGTCGCATAATCTTCAAGAATTCAGATAACTTAGGGGTAAGGCAGTCTAACCCACAATTTCTTAGTCTCAAAAATCAATTTCAGAGCCAAAATGGTGGTGCATGCCTTTAATCCCAGCACTCAGAAAGCAGAGGCAAGTAGATCTCTGTGAATTCTAGGCCAACCTGGCCTACAGAGTGAGTTTCAGAACAGCCAAAGCCACACAGAGAAGCCCTGTCTTGGAAAAAAAATCAGTTTCAGATGTGCAAAATAATAAGATTATTTGACCAGTGATGCTTGGGATTTCTCATTTCTTCTTACAGACATCCCTCACAGCATACAGCAAATAGGTACAGCGAGTCAAAGAAGCCTGATCCTGCGCCATCATAAAATGGTGACAAATTAAGCCAAAGGATAAATCTAATGCTAATCATCACTTATCTGGATGCTGGAAACAGTGTTTCCGGTCTGAGATGTCCTCAGATTAGGACTGTTTGTCTAGATTTACCTTGCTGAACACCACTCATCTGCACAGCTGGGCTCCTGATCTGGTTTGGTTTGGTTTGGTTTGGTTTGGTTTGGTTTGGTTTGGTTTGGTTTGGTTT